GGATGTTTATAGAAAGAAAGAATGCAAGATGAAATGCTTCTATTTTGCATACTCTGGAGCCACATGAAAAAGCTGATTGGCTGATGGCATCACATCCTGAGCTGTGAAACCAAAAGCAGCAGACAGGAAAAAATTAAAATGTATATGAAACCAAAAGTCCATGATAAAAGCCAACACTAGTGAAATATGTACTGTAAAAAAACAAAATTTAAAATACAGTACAGTTCAAAAGTTTGTGGCTGGTAACGTTTTTGAAATAAGTTTATGATCACCAAGCTGCATTTATTTGATCAAAAATACAGTAAAAACATAAATATTGAGAAATATTATTGTAACTTAAAAGACCTGTTTTCTATTTGAATATAGTTTAAAATGTAGTTTATTCCCGTGATGACCATTGCGCCAGTCTTCAGTGTCACATGACCCTTCAGAAATCTTTCTAATATGCTGATTTGTTCTCAATAAACATTTTTCAATTATTATTATAAATGTTGAAAACAGTTGTGCTGCTTAAAGGGTTAGTTCACCCAAAAATGAAAATTCTGTCATTAATTACTCACCCTCATGTCGTAAGACCTTCGTTCATCTTCGGAACACAAATTAAGATATTTTTGATGGAATCTGAGAGCTGTCTGACCCTGCATAGACAGCAACGCAACTGTAATGTTCCCACATCACCCTGGTGCCATTTTGGAGAATATCCACTGGTCGTAAACTAGAGCCCGACCGATATGGGTTTTTTGGGGCCGATACCGATATTAGGGAGTAAAAAAAAACCACAATATTCTTTGTGTATATTATAGTACAGTACCAGTCAAAAGTTTGGACACTTTCCAATTCGTGTGTCCAAACATTTGACTGGTACTATATATAGAATACAGTATATACATAAACAGAATATATATACATAAACACATTTTTTGCAATGTAATGACAGAATTTAAATTTTTGGGTGAACTAACCCTTTAATATGTTTGTGGAAACAGTGATACTTTTGATTACACTTTATTTTAAAGGGGTCATATGATGTTGCTAAAAAGAACATTATTTTGTGTATTTGGTGTAATGAAATG